AATGAAATCTGAAGTTCGAAGTCCATATCTAAACTTTGTATGATGAAACAAAACCAGAAGTCTTATATCATAAGTCTACAAAATATCCGATGACTTAAAATGACATTTTGAAATATAAAATTTTATTGAATAATATAAACACACCAGCATCAAAAAAATCAACTAAACAATATAACAGCGGCCAAACAAAATCGCTTGTTGCTCAGATATCTATGACTTTAACTGTGTCAGAGCATAATGATGAAATTACCATTCACATGTGTTTAATAGGCTCAAACAGAGCTTCATACTCCTTTCGTTTCAAAATCTCTTAATTTTCAAATGGGAGAAGAATTCAATTTTGTTAGCGAATTTTGAGATGAATGCGATTTTTGTGAGAGGGATTGGTCAGGACAATGCGATTTTCTTTCCGAGCGATGGACGATGGGCGGTAAACACAATATCGCGTCTTCATTACGCACCCCTTCCATTACATTGGCAATCCATTTCGAAGCATATCAATATTTAAATCTAATTATTTCCTCAATTGCAATGCTAGATCTAGTAGTTCAGTTATTTGTGATATTTGACGAATTTATCTAAATCGCCAATCATAATCAGGCTTTGATTAGATAGGTGGCCGAAAAAGGGATCCTGTTACTAATTTTATGGAGGGGGGGGGGGTGTATGTAATATCGACCACCGTCCAAACAATTATTTCCTGCACTATAGGAGAAAGTACTCTTTAAAAAAGGTTCCAAAAAACTATTTTGAATCATCGTTCCGTAATTGTGCAAATGAGTTTTTGTTTTTAACGTAACGTACACTGTATTTTAATTCTTGTTTGCTTAAAAAGATTAATTTCAATATGATTCGCAAGTATGATCACTGCATCAAATGTGGAATTTCTTGCAATTTCTAGACGTAGGATGGTCTAGAAACTCCACGTATCTACCGGGAGAGGTTCAAAATAAATCATTATTTTATGGCTTGTTCATGCAACAATTGCAACCCCGTGACTGAAAACCGAAAAGTTTTTGGCGATCGCACCCCCCCCCCCCCCCCATCCTGAATGAAAGCTGGCTTCGCCCCTGCCCTGTATCAATTAGTAATGATACATTGCATACACAATATGAACACATAGTTCTTTCATCCATTTGGTCAGACGCACAATAATAATACTATTCTAGTATCTTGCTTGATACCCGGGGTTTGATGTAACAACTTGATAGATGCCCGCGAAAACATATTTTTACTAGTTATCAGTACAGCTTGTTTGGTATTTTACAAGCTTTAAACAGTACGTGATTTATTATTCAATCATATATGTAAAACGTCATGGTATACGTGAACAGTTCGTTATACAAAATAATAAATAAAATAGATAAAAGATAAAAGAAATTAGTATATTTCAGTGAAAATATGTCTAAATCATGAATGTTGATCATAATTGCTTATAACAATATACATTCACCTGATTCGATAATTACTTTAATCTAGATTTCAATCATTAGTCTCAAGGCGTGCCAAGACTTTTTGTCACACTCTAAGCACGTCTTTGCACTGCGTGTGCTTAGACGTGCCTAGAGATGTCTAGAGTTGGTTTCATCGCGTACCTAGACGTGTCAAAACTAGTCACGCCTAAGCACCCGGCGTGCTTAGACTTAGTTTCTAGACGTGCTTAGTCTAGAAATTCCATTTTTCACGCAGTGAAATACCCTCTGACGGCAAGAGGCTAAGGCTATTACCATATTCTTGGCTATTAGTATATCGAACCTTGAAGAATATTATGAAAGCGTAGTGTCAGAATCGCAAAAATATGATCTTGGCTTTTCAGTGTCAAAATTGTGAATTCAAGTAGCTTTTGAGGCCCTCTTCTGTAATAATGTGCTTTCAGTAAATTTAATTGTATTTAGTATGTATTTCACTGGTGATAGATTCGATTAAGCTGAATACAGAAACGGTTTGTTTGTTAACAAAGTGTCGGAACCTCAAAGGTACAATTCTTATGGTTTTGGGAAGTTTGGGTTTGCTTTTTCTTGTGACTTATGTCTCCTTAAATTTTTTTCTTTTTCTTGCTTTGTTCTGAACAATTTTTGGTCCTTACCCTTTAGCACTAGTGCTTACATATTCCAGTCATAGTCTTATAGTTGTTATGCGGAATATGGCATATATTCATGGTTGTGCGATATTTGTGATACGGGTGAATATGCCATACTCACCTGCAGTATATGGCATATTCCACAGGTGAGTATGGCATATTCCGCAGTGAATAGGCGTCGCACTCAACTGCCATATACAGCAGATGAAAACGTTATACAGAAAGCATTGATTTGATTGGTTCCATTTCGCGTTCTCATTGGTTAGTGTGTATGCCATATACCGCGGGTGAATCTGGCATACACCGCAAGTGAATATGCCATATTCGTTGCAGAATATGAAACATTTGTATCGTGTTTACCGCGTGATAATAGCAGCTTTAACAATACCAGTCAACATTGAGTACAATGTAGAACAAGGCACAGGGTTAACAATATTGTACCTAATATATAGCAATGTGGGCTTGTTTCCCCAAAAAGCAAGATGACCACCAAAATGTTTATCAGCTGTAGAACATCTTACCATGTAACATGTGTTAAGTTTTGAAGTTAATCCATTAAATGGTTTTCATGGAATGCCAGTGACAAAATTAATTCAAAAACTTCCAAAATGGCCGCCACAATGCAATATGGCCACTGAAAGGGGACCAGAATGCAAGATGGCTTCTGAAAAGTTTATTAGCTCTAGAACCTCTTACCATGTAACATGTGAAAAATATGAAATAAATATGTTGAGGGATTTTTGGGGAATTGTGATGGCAAGATTTATCTCAAAACTTCCAAGATGGCCGCCAGAATGCAAGATGGCCACCGAAAAATTAATCAGCTCTAGAACTTCTTTCCATGTAACATTCGTGAAAATTTGAAGTGAATCCATTGAGTGGTTTTCCAGGAATCGTGATTTCAAGAAAAATGCAACACCACCCATCCGCCAAGCAGACAACAGTATCGTACCTTTTTAGGTACGATAAAATACACATCATATGATGTCATAATAAATTAGAAAATGAGGTAATTTGCATGAGCTAATTGCATATTTATTGCCTCATTATGATACAAATATGAATTTGAGTCAATGAATAATGAGTGGAATTTGCCTAATAATGTATTTCATCTATTAACAATATTCAAATGGCTGCTATGGAAACTGGCATTTGACATTATTGGTAACAAAGGACGATTCTCGGTTTGGAGAACGAATTTCATCAATCTAAATGAGCATTATCCCTGCTTCGGACAAATTTGATTTTTTTTACATAATATGGATTTGAATGTCTTCTTTTGAATAGTCATAATTTAATTTGGGTAATATTTCTAGATTTTTCGCAAAAAAATATTAGCGCAGTACACTGATGAACTTTTTCCCCCAAATCGAGTCTTGTATTTTATTGAATCGGTCAAATTCAGCGTTATCCCTGCTTCAGACCAATTTGTTATTTTTACATCTTGTAGATTTAAATGTCCTCTTTTGAATATTCATTGTTTAATTTGGGTAATATTTCTATATTTTCATGAAAAAAATTATTAGCCCAGGACTGTTCTCCAAACCGAGAATCGTCCTTTGAGACTCGAGTACAAGTGGATTTGAAAAGGTTGGGTCATAAGTTTTACAACGGTACCTTATTTGTGCCTTTTCCTCTCATTTGTAAAAATTTCATTTTCTGACCTTCATTCTAGTAGCCTAACCATACAGTATCTAATAATTTATTTCTCAAAATTCAATAAAACTATCATTCCAATAATCCAAAGGAATAATAAGTGTAATGTTGGTTCATCGTTATAAATTGTAGGACATTTTCTAGAAGGTCCCATTGATATAAAAACACATATTCAAATTAGTATTTGCGAAATTTGAGAGATTATTTTCTATTTTTTCTGGGTTTGTAAGGGTTAAAAAGAAGACAAATGAACTTTTTCTTTGTTAAATTAATATTATTATCTAGGAAAAACAATATCCAATTGCGCTCAAGCTAAATTATGTAAAAATAAGACCTCAACTTTAAGAAATATGTTTTTTAGTCATGCACTCATAAATTGAAGGGGGTGGGGTAGGGGGTATCTTCGATTCAAATTTTAACATTGTTCCACTACTTCGATTTTGGTAGATTTGAAGTATGTATTTCAAGGTTAATTAATGTAAATAACTAACCTAATTTGATTTCTATTGCAATTTGTTTTGGGTTAAGCTATTTTTTTCATTAGTTTGACTGGGCTACTTGGGCTTTCATCCCTCTTATACTAAACGGTGAGCAACATCAAAACGAGCGTACGATTTGCTAAACGATATGCTTTACCTTTTAGTGCAATTTATTTTCTTTATTGAAAATTACTTTTAAATGTCTTTAACAACACGAATGAATAGATTTGATTAAAACTGGTCCTAAACTGTTTGACGGGATGCTAAACCGTATCTATACAACTTTTGCCAAAAGTCGCGATCGTGTATCCGGAACGGCAGCTGCACGGTAAGGTACCAGGTCTGTTTGTACATATTTGGCTACATTTGCCGTTGGACGAAGAACATTCGTTTATATCTGATTTTTAGATGTAAATGGAAAATATTGTGTCTAGCAAAATACGTAAAAATATTTTCTTTTCATTCCAAGAATTTAATCCCTCGTTTCATATTTGCATATTACTAATTAAGCCGCCATCTATGATGACCCCTCTGAGCAACAGAATACTGATGAGTCATTTATATCTGAAATAGGTCAATTATGTTTTTATTTAGCCGTTCAAACATGATCCCATTCACATCCGAATTAGATTTAATTTTTGTAATTTCTCTTAATGTTCCATTCATAATGGACACACAATCCATAGAAATCACAGTAAATGTTAAGGTCATTATATATATATATAGACTCATATATAAATATTATCAAGAAAACAAGACATTAATATAATATATAAATACATCACCTGAGCAGTAATAGCCAGAGTATCCCGTACAACATTTGGCATTGGAACTAGAAGGATTGTTACAGAACCCTCTAAAAGACAAGATGTGTCATTTTATCTTGAAATACTACCATATTACTCGTAATTTCATCATTTTTAATTATATATAGATACACACACTATTGACATTTATTTTTCAGCAATTGAGAAACCAAATTCACAATTAAAATTTGTACAAAGTAACCCGGGATTATTATCAGGTGACAACAATATAATAAAGATCAAGAAAATATTATGTGAGTACTAAGAAATTCAAAATAGCAAATGTCAAAAGATCCCATACCGAAGCAACCCAATGGGAACTTCATAGCGTTTGTACCAATATATGGGAACCAATTTGACAAGTAAATCCTAAGCAATAGAAACCAAATTCTTTGAAAACTTTACTTGAAACACTTTAGGGTATCTTTAGCTAGCGATGTGAATATGTAACAGATTGGTCTCATATTATGTGAGTATCGTTAAATTGTAGACAGTATGTCAAAATAAGCGATATCAATTTAAAAGTCACTGTATTAATCCATTTCCTATAAAAAATACTTTTCCGTATTTGTTGTAACGATAACACATCCAATTTTGAAAATGAATTGATTTTGGATATTTGAAACAAAGAAACGAATTAAATGACACACGGACAAGCTATTTTGACTGATTGATGGATGATATCACCTGATAGCTGGCACAAACACTATGATGGTCTCACCACAGAGCTCTGGCATGGGATTTTTTGACGTGCTATTTTTAATTTCTTAGTACTTGCATTACGTATACTTGACCTTTTTCATATTTTCACAACTTACTAAAGATTCTACTGGGCTAATTTGTACACATTTTCAGTGAATTTGATTCATCAATTGTTGAGAAAATACTTGTCACACTTTTTGGGACACCCGTGCATTTATATGAGATGAAATAACTTATAACTTACGGTTTCAAGTAATAACAATTCGTGCCATGATAACCATTGCAACACTTGGGAACCGATGTTGATCTGTATAGTGTACGGTACCTAAGAACATGTGAATGAGTAAGTCTTGTATAACCTACTCGTATTGTACGCAATACTTAGTAGCATCAATAAAACGTGGAATACATACTCATTCATTAGCGAACACAATGGGCTCCGAACTATGATTGAAGAAAGTATGGGGTGGGCATAACAATGACCCACATCTATATATTACGTAAAAGGGTGGGGCGTTGTCATCCTATATTGACTGTGCAGATGAATCAAATTTCATTGAAACAACTTCTGATGAAACTGTTAATAAGTCGAATACAATTAAAACGCCCGGGCGTTGGAATGCATCAATTCTATTGGTCATATATTTTAGCCTACATAATTTCAACCAGGCAATACAGCTCACCTGGAACATCTACTCCAGCCCCACCAACCGCAGCTGCTATAGTGCTTTGCACTGTAGGACGTCCTGACGTATGTGTAACAATACCCCCTTAAAAATATGAACTTGCACATTAACAGCTATCCTAATCCCTCAAAGCACAGCTCGCAGACTACTATACATACACATGAGCAAATACTCTATCCAATTCCATCGCAACTAACAAGTTGTAAGACGTCCTAGCATATTATAAATATTCACTTAAACAGCGATCCCAATGTTACTTCTTGTATGAGCAGTAATTAAAATTATTAAGAATAAATAAAATAGAGTATTGTACCCCAGCCCCTACTGCAACTAGCACGCTTTGAGTTTTCCGTCAAAACTGCCATTTTTCAAAAAGCAAAATAACTTGAAAATGGCGATGACCTAAAGTGCTAAAGGGAGCATTCATTGAATGTTAAAAGAAGCGAGAAATGAGGCTTTCGTGCTCCCATCGCGCGTCTGATGTGAAAAAGTTTTGACGCCAAAAAGTAGACTTTTGACACTTTCTCGAACAAAATATTTAACCTATTACATTTACAAATGTTTGCATTAAGCAATTTGATCTAACTTGGAATAGAATATGTAATAATATAATTGAGGCACCTCAGTAAGAATCTACACACGCTCCAATATTTAAAAAGGAATTTAGATCAAAATTCTAAATTGTAACGAGTCTTGAATACCACAACTTACCCGAGTGAGGGCATCGGGAGTACAACCATCACCAGTGCGAGGATAATCTTCAACTGCATCGTGGCTCGTTGCAGATTTAAGATCAAACAATGTCAATGGAAAAGGCTGTGATGCGACCGATGTGGCTCCAAACAAGCTAATGACTTAAGGTGCCCTTGATTGTTATTTTATTCAAGGAGTGGAACGCAAAGACTGACACAATCATCTTACTATTAAGTACTTTTAAGATCATATGACATCCACTTTATGCTAAGGATTACAAAGTAAATTAGCAGCTCGTATTTCAAAAAACTGAAGATGTCTTTGGTAGACACAAGACCAAACCGAAACCAACAACAAGTGCCATTATGTACATTCGTAAATTTATTTAGTTGTCATTTGAAAAGGTTTGTTTGTGATTTTTGAAATATTGAAGGAGGAAATTATATGCCTGTTTTAAAACTATTTCTAAGAATCTATTAAAACCCTGTTATGTTTCCGATATAAGTATATTATCCTCTTTTGCCTAGTTTCGCCTCGCCTATTTGATCATCAAATCATTTTAAATTACTATATGTCATATTTGTTATTTTATTAATTAATAGAATGTACACTCCCCTCCATAAGTTTGGCAACCTTTTTTCCCCCATTGAACTACGTGTTAAAGCCTCTTTACCTTTGAATTTTTATTTACTTAACCTGCAATGAAAATACTTATACTATTGATGGAAACGTAATTTGACTTTAATTCCAATACCTCCAAATTTTCTCAATTTTTTTCTTCAATTACAATAGGTCGAAAATTGATGATAAATTTGATGAATTTTTGAAAATCGACATTCCCATGTTAACCAATGGGAAATGGTAGGTTTGCCGCAAGTCATATATATGACGTGCACGGACCTGGGGACAATTCGGGAAATACGGGCTAATCTCAGCTCCAAGCGTTAATATCTGCCTTATTTAAAAAGCTAACTATGTGCATTATATATCAATTTGAAGTATTTTTTATTCGCATTTCACTGAAATCATTTTTCCTTGAAAAGTTTGATGAGATCTACCATATTTTTAAAGTTAAATGTACTCCGACATCGTCAAATACGCTGTAAGACGTAACATTCCATGCTTACACGGTTCGTTGAATTCGGGATAACTTTTGAAATACTGATCAGAATTTTACTAAAATTTCACATTTTATTCATTGAAACATGTGCTTTTATGACGTCACAATTGCCTAGCGGCTACAGTTCAAATCGTCTTATATGAACGCTTTTAAAGTTTTCAAAATTGTGTAAGGTTTTGAAGGCGAAGGAGACAAGCAATAAGTTTACCTTTATTTAACCTTCTAATTTAGGTCTGATTTCAAAAAAAATTTAACTGCACAATATTGTCATGGGGAAATTTACAAAACAATAACCGATTTCTTTATTCTTCAAATAATAAGAAAATAAGAGTTGTTTTTAGAGACTTGAAAAAATGTAACGCATCGATTTTTTACCACAAATCTCATACATATCAATTTTTGCTAACGCCCCGATTGGATTTCCCGACCGTTTTTCAAAAATCAAAAACATTTTAGAAATATTGTCCTCGAGATCTTGTTGCTCTGTGAATTTTACCAGGATTGAATAAGAAGAAAGCATCTTATTTCTAGGTTGACTAAAATTGACAAAATGTAACGCTTGTCGTTTTTGACGTTATAATGCTGATTGCGCCCTATACTCATTAGTATGGGAGCAAAGGTCATTCCGTTTCCTTTTTAGAGGCGAGCTAAGCGACATATATTTTCATGAACTATACGTGATACTTACCAAGAAAAATGATGTTGGCAATTCTGAATCCGCGACGGCGTTGCTATGGTAACCAAGTCAATATGCCACGCCCACTTTTAGGGGCTATTTTCAGTGTATGGCCCCTATCTCCGTCATTTTTGTTTAGATTTAGATGAAATTTACACCAAATGGAAGCTAATGGATAATGCAATCAGAAAATATTAAGTTGGCAATTCTGGATCCGATATGGCGTTGCTATGGTAACAAAGTAAATATGCCACACCCACTTTTCGGAGCTATTTTCAGTGTTTGGCCCATAACTTAGTCATTATTGCTCAGATTAAGATGAAATTTGCACCAAATGAAAGGTAATAGATAGAACAATCAGACAGTTTTTAATATATGCAATTATGGTGATTGGCATATCAATTATGACGTCATAACTCTTTGTTCTTGCATATTTTATTTTAATCATAATGTATAGATCTGGTAAATTATTGTCTTTAAAATGGTCCGTATAATGTTTTTAACTAGTCTTGTTTGTTTCTTTTAGTTGAGTTTATTAGTTTATTCCATTCACACATGTATGATCATAATAGTTGAATAAATATAATGGAAGTGTTCAATTCACACTGTTGCTTTGGTGACAGCATGCAACAAAACCACCTGCTGCAAACAAGAATTCTTTAGGAAATGTTACATTTTGACCAGTTGACTAACATGTATTCTTTTTAAAATTTGATGACAGAAAATAATCTAATAACCATACGTATTAAATTTGGATTTTGTTATATTATGATGTCATAATGGCAATTTTTAATTAGGGGCGCAGCCAGCTTTCAGTCAGAAGGGGGCCTGCGATCGTGGCACAGGCAACCAAAAAGTATTTATAAGATAGGTTTTGAATTTTACAAAAATTGATCCAACTTCCTTCAAAATTTAGCAAAAAGCTTCAAGTCGAAAGCCTTCTTTTATCTAATGGTTCTATTTTTATCGGATATGAGGGGTTAGGTGAACCCAGCGCACCCCCCCCCCCCCCTAAGCACTGCCTATGTTAATCCAACTTGATGTTGCTATGGTAACCATTAGGTGAATATGCTAGGTGAATTAGACGATACATGAATAATGTTGATTGGCTGACTGACAAACTAAGTACCTGTCATGGTATCATAGCTGATTTTTGTGATTATTTTCTTGAAATAAGGTAAAATTGCTCAAAATGATTCCTCTGTAACAGACATTGGTACTAACTATCCCATTAATCGCCTAAAACACTTGACAAACATTTTACAAAACACAAATTGTAATACTAAATTTCAGAAATCCCCACGAATAATAAAGATTAGTTTTTGCTTTTTTATTAAGCACGAAACTAAATCGCAGGCGAAAAATACCAGGAGTACAGTACCTGTTATGGTATCATAGCTGCTTTTTGTGATTATCTCTTGAAATAAGGTAAATTGCTCAAAATGATTCCAAATTGGAACCCAAATTGGAACCTTCACCATAAAATGAGGTCAAAGCTGAAAACTATGATTGATTCCATTTCTTTACAAGTATGGAGTATGAAAGCCCCTGATTTAAGATATGCTTTTGGTTTTGAAATCCGATATCCAACCATTCGGTTCAGAATTGGTACAGTTATGTCTACATGACCTTAAAAGATGAAATAGGCTAAAGTATTGACCTATACCATAAAATGATATTATTTCTTATGTTAATTGACGTTGAACATATTTTTCGGATTTCAAAACCATTAGCAGCTATTTTTGCCACGATGGGTATGCCAGTCAGTCAATATACTGCATATCCATGCATTTTCTGATTCTTTAGCTTCAATTTGGTGAATATTTCATACACACTCAAGCTGTAATCATGACAAAGATAGAAGCGAAACTTTGAAAAAGCCCTGAACAGGGGATGGCATATTCACCTTGTTACCATAGCAACCTCATATTGGATTAACATAGGCATTGCCAGGGGGTGCGATGGGTGCGCCCCCATAAACAAAAAAAAATAGAACCATTAAATAGAAGAAGAGCTTTAAAATCATTTTGACCTGAAGCTTCTAGCTCAGTTTTGAAGGAAGGTGCATCAATTTTGTAAAATTCAAAACAAATCTTAAAAACATTTTTGGGTTGCTTATGCCACAAGCGCAATCCCCCTCTCCTGACTGAACGCTGGCTGCACCCCTGATTAATAATTGCCATTATGACATCATAACATAACACAATCCAAATTAAATTATTTTCTATAGTTATAAGATTATTTTCTGTCATCATATTTTAAAAAGAATACATGTGTCAGTCAGCTAGTCAAAATGTAAAATTTTCCAAAGAATTTTTTTACATCAGATAGTTTTGCTACGTGCTTTTACCATAGCAACAGCATAAATTGGACACTTTCATTACATTTTTGATTCCATCAGTTTTTATGACCATGCAAGTATGAATGAAGTAAAATTATAAACTCAACTTAAAGAAATAAACTAATTAATTAGTTAAAAGCATTACTGACTATTTTAAAAACAATAATATCACAGATTAATACATCATGATTAAGATAAAATATGCAAGAACAAACATTTATGACGTCATAATCAATATGAAAATCATCCTATTTGCATAGTTTACTAACTGTCTGATTGCTCTATCTATTACCTTTGATTTGGTGCAAATTTCATCTAAATCTGATCAATAATGAAGAAAACAAGGGCCAAATACTGAAAAGAGCCCCTAAAAGTGGGTGGGGCATATTTACTTTGTTACCATAGCAACGTCATCGTTTATTCAGAATTGTCAACTTAATATATCCTGATTGCATTATCTATTACTTTCAAATTGGTCTGAATTTCATCAAAATCTGAGCAATAATGGTGGAGATGGGGGCCAAACACTGAAAAGAGCCCCTAAAAACGGGCGTAGCATATTTACTTGGTTACCATAGCAACGGCATCGCAGATTCAGAATTGCCCATAATATTTCTTGATCGTACTTTATACGTGTAAAGAAATATAATGTAAATCAATCATTGTTTTCAGCTTTGACCTACTTTTATGGTGAATGTAAAAGGACTAGATACCAATTTGGAATCATCTTGAGCAATTTTACCTTATTTCAAGAAAATAATTTCGAAAACAGCTATGGTAGTCATACCATAACAGGTATATCAGTCTGTCAATCTACATTCCCCATGCATCGTCTGATTCTTTAGTTTCCATTTGATGAAAATTGCATATACACAAAGTGGGGATGGCATAATCACCTGAATACAACAGCTAAAATAGGGATAGCCAGGTGGTGTGATTGGGCCAACCCCCCCCCCCCCCCATTTAGCAATAAAAATAGAACCATTAGAGCAGGAGATCCAAGACGTCATTTCCATTGTTCTTTCAGCAGAAGAGCTTTAAAAATGCTTTTGACTTGAAGCTTCTAGCTCAATTTTGAAGGAATTTTTGTAAAATTCAAGTCAAATTAAACTTTTTTGAGTTGCTTATGCCGATATCGCACCCCTCCCCCCTGATTGAAAGCTGGTTGCGCCCCTGATTAATAATTGCCATTATGACATCATAATATAACACAATCCAAATAATATAATTTTCTATCGTTATTAGGTTATTTTCTGACAGCCATCAAATTTTAAAAGGAATACATGTCAGTCAACTAGTCAAAATGTAACATTTCCCAAAGAATTGTTTTCACAGCAGATAGTTTTGCAACATACTGTTACCATAGCAACAGCTTGAATTGGATATTTTCATTACATTTTTTCAATTTTTATGACCATACATGTATGAATGAAATAAACTAATAAACTCATCGAAAAGAAATGAACTAATTAACTACTTAGGAGCATTACTGACCATTTTAAAGACCATAATTTCCCAGATTTATACATCATGATTAAAATTAAATATACAAGAACAAACGTTTATGACGTCATAATTGATATGTAAATCACCTTATTTGCATATTTTTAAAACCGTTTGATTGCTCTTTCCATGACCTTTCATTTAGTACCAATGTCACCTAAATCTGGGCAATATTGACGAAGATAGGGACCAAACACTGAAAAGAGACTCTAAAAGTGGGTGTGGGATATTTACTTTGCTACCATAGCAACGCCATATCGGATTCAGAATTGCCAACTTAATATTTCCTGATTGCATTTTCCATTATTTTCCATTTGGTGTGAATTTCATCTAAATCTGAGCAATATTGACAGAGATAGGGGCCATACACTGAAAGGAGCCCCTAAAAGTGGGCGTGGCATATTTACTTGGTTACCATAGCAACGCCGTCGCGGATTCAGAATTGCCAACATCATTTTTCTTGATCAGTATCATTTCTAGTTCATGAAAACATATGTCGTTTAGCTCGCCTCTAAAAAGGACACGGAACCTCTTATTTGGACTTTTGCTCCCACACTACATTGTATTGTTTTGTATTTTGACGCCATAATGTTACTCTAATTGTCCCCAGTTTCGTGCGACGTGTAATAGCAGAATATCCATCCATCCGAGTCCTTGCAAAAAATACGAGTTAGGCAGGCAATTGAATTTGCTAACTTTGTTTAACAAAAAATTGATATGTTTCTTCAGGTTCAACAAAGTTATAGGGCTTTAAAGTCAAAATTGTTTTTCAAAAAACTTCTCCCATTGAAATAACACAGGAGGCGAAAAATTATTTTCAAAAATGACTTTGAAGCGCTGTAACTTTAATATTCATCGAATAAACTAAACACTTAGTGTTAAAAAAAGTTAGACTATTCAATTTTCTATATAAAAATATTTTTTGCTGAATCTTTTACTGAAAAGATATCCTGATTTCTGATTTGCCCCGAACCCTCCATTTCCCGTTGGATTACATGGGAATGACGATTTTCAAAAATTCATCAAATTTATCATCAATTTTCGACCTATTGTAATTGAGGAAAAAAATTGAGAAAATTTGGAGGTATTGGATATAAAGTCAAGTTACGTTTCCATCAATATTATAAGTTATTTAATCGCTAGTTAAGTAAATAAAAATTCAAACGTAAAGAGGCTTTAACACGTAGTTCAATGGGGAAAAAGGTTGCCAAACTTATGGAGGGGAGTGTATATCGGGTGTCCCAAAAACGTCACACACTTTTTATTTTCTCAGCAATGACAGGCTCAAATTTTTTGAAAAATTCTATAAAGTAACCTCAGGGTATCATTAGCAAGGTATACAAATATGATAGAAATTGGTACATATTAGGTGAAAATTGACAAATTCAAAAATGCATGTCAAAAAATTCAATATCAATGGAATTGCCACTTATTTCAGTATGAAAGAAGCTGTTTTTCCAAGCAGAAATACTTTTGTGTATTTTTCCATCGATATCGCCTCCCATTACATAATTATACTGTCCTTTAATGTATGTTGAATTGAGTGCATTTTTGTTCAAAGTATATTTACAGTAATATGACTCTCATGACCCTAATAAATGAAGGAAACAAGAAATAAATAAAAATAATAAAAAATAAAATTCCTTTACGATTGATCTTCCACTCAATGCTTTCACCTTGAAACAGTTCTCAATGGTATAGCCTTATCGCCTATCACAGGCATTGTTTATCCTCCTCAATACTGAAATTTGGGACAGAATGTATTTTGAAAAACAGAGAACAATGAAACAAATAATAAACCTGACCCACAGACAAGCTGTTTTTGAGACTAGAACAGCTTATAATGACTATTTTATCACGTATAGCAGGCACAAACGCAAAGAAAGTCTCATTGAGCAAGCTCTGATATTGGATTTCTTGACGTGCATTTTTGAATTAGTCAATTCTCACATAATGTGGAACCGATTTCCATCATATTCTAACAACTTGCTAAAAATACCAAGGCTACTTTATAAAGCTTTTCAATAAATTTGAGCCTGTAATTGCTGAGAAAATTCTTGTCAAAAAGTGTGACGTTTTTTGGGGGACACCCGATATAATCAGAAAATACGAGCCTCATTCAAAAATGAATTAGATCTAAAGTAGTATTACACTATTCTGAAATCTGGATTATTATCTAGATATTTTAAAGGTGTCTATCTCTCAGAACATCAAGGATATAAAAACGCATAGGGCAGTGTTGCCTTGATTGAAAAGTGGAACCCGCACACAAGCGGTTCATTTTCTGTAAACCAAGTGTTGAGGTTCTTGGATCAAACTGAAATATGTTACGTACTATGATAAGTATGATTTATTGTTCTACTTTACTGTTTCCCCAGTCATATCTGAAATCTCATAAAGATTCCCTACACAATACGCCAGTCATATTTTGCGTAACGTCAAGTAATGAATGGAAATACTATACAAGATCAAATTCCATTTAAATTAATTATTTATATCTAGACTTCAAAGTTTCTGTATTGCATCTAAACAATTTAGATAATGTATGTTATATTGTTATATATTATATGTTTTGTGATTGCTCTGCAATAATTTTTGATATATGCACTGATACGCCCAATTACTAAGGGTGTCGAGTGCACATGCTTTGTACATTCCATTGTTATATTATTATGAAATAAATGAAAAAAAAAAGTATTGTGTTCATATGTATACATTCACTGAACGGCACAATAAAACACTTGACCAATACTATGTCAACATTATCATTATAAAATTATGCAACAAATAACAAAATAAGGTATATATTGCCACAAAGCATCGAATATACTGTTTAATTTTTGGAAACACTTTAAGCAAGCATAGAATATAGGATAAACGTTATAGGCCATGTCAATGAACAAATGTTAATGTTATAAGCACATGCCATTGTTTAGGGGCATTGGACATTGGCTGCAAAGTCGCACATTTTGAAAATGCTGCTGAACCGCCTCCCAGAGCCACATGGCTTTGATATGTACGTTCCATGAGAGCATATCAAATATCTAGAGCAATCGGCTGGATCTTGGATCTCATCATCAGTCTCACAAGGCTCATCTGAAAAGTAAAAAGAAGTTATTCACCAGGAGGGATTTCATATGGGGAATATCACAAGGATGATATCAATATTTCCCGAGGGAACGCAGATATTGATACCATCCGAGGGGTATTCCTCATGGTCAAGCTAGAACATTATCTACCTAAAATCCTCTGTTGAATCAGAGAAAAAATTGAAAAAATTAAAATGTTTAGGAAAATGTAAAATTTTTGAATATATACCCGACTATACTGTATTGACCCAACTGGACGAAATGGAAAGATTTATTTGGAAACGATTCCCGGGAGGTGAATAACATTTTCGTGAGTGTGATTGGAGGTAAATACGATTTTCGTGAGCGGGATTGGGCGGGACAATACGATTTTTTCAATAACAAAAATCTATATTCTCGGGTTTTATTCAACGGAAAGTACCGGACATCAAGTTCCCAAAGAAGAATGATCTACATGTATATAATATAGCATTGGTACATAGGTACCTTAGATTGAAAAAAGTCTAATATGAAGTAGAGAAATATCACCTTTTCTTATAACATTCGGTTCATCATTATCATCACCATGATCAACGCCCTCTTTCGCTACCGCAACTGTTTCTTTTTGACCCTTGCTTGGACATGGCACATTTTTCTCGTGGTCACACACCTTCAGTTCATTGTTAAAGCGAGTCCCAGGATCGCATCGCATTAGTATAAACCGGTTGTGATTACATGTTAGGTACATCGAGCAATCACCTGGGTAAAGGAACATATCCCCAGGTGAACAGGCACCACCTAGAATAAAACAATTAGTATGAAAAATGGAAACATTATCTGCAACCAATTTCCGCGGTTAACTTCAATTTGCTTCCACTTAAAATTGTGTATTGGTCATACTAAAAAATATATATACTTATCACAAAAGTAAATTAACTAACCCACGATTAGATTTGACGATGTACATGTATGTCCATCGCTGGCTAATCTGAATCCAGATTCACAGCTGCAGATGTAGGAACCAACTGTATTCCTGCATACTTGGTCACATCCACCATTATCTCTGGTGCATTCGTCTAGAAAAACGGAAACAGGACTTTGTATTTCCACATTTTATCAATGATTTTTACATGTTAAAGTGTGGAAAAATTGCACAAATGTACAGAGTTTGCCAGAAAGCGTAACCCAAATAAATGTTGATAAAATACCTCAGTCATTGATCAAATATGTTCTGTTATTGAACTTGAACTTGACTTATACTGTATCAATGCATGGTGTTTATTATTAAATTGCATTAATAGTACAGGTTGAGCCAAAAATGGTAAAACAACAAATGTTAACAATTTAATCATTCAGCATAGGTTTAAGTTTGACACGAATAAACTTTTTTACATGTTTCTTCATTCTACAAAGTTTCATTGGTATATTCCCAAAAATAAAAAAATATAAAATATATAAAAATGACCAGTTTATATACCTCAGTACTTCTCCAGAGATGGCGTTTATTTTATCTAAAACTGTATTCCTTACGTACAAACACAGACAAACAAATATGTGATAAACAAGTAAATATCAATAAACTTATTTTTTTGGAAACTACTACATTGTATCTTGTGCTATATGGGCAATGATTAAGCCTAAATGACAAAATATTGATTGACAGTCATTAGAAATAATTATATGTGCAATATTTTTGATATACATTTATGAAACGTCTCTCATAAGCCGCACTGGCTGGGGCAGTGTTTTTAATGTTATTTTAATACTACTAGTATTTGTAAAATAAATCTGCTGTGAGACGAAAATAAATAAAATTAAAAAATTAAAAAGTTAGAGCTGGTCAAAGTCACTGAAATACCCAAATTGTACGATAAACCCCTATGTTCTTAGAATATAAATCTTCATCAATAATGGCTCAATATAGTTATTTCTAAACTTAAAACTGGCAATTGAATAAGCTTTCCAATGCAACCTAAAACATCCTCCTATGATTTGTCGTTTCCGAGATCATGGGGAGATCTCCCCCCCCCCCTGACCATTAATGTAATTCGTTATAGCCTACTAGTAACCGTTTAAGGGTTAAAGTTTGTCTCCAACAAAAACCTCCCGCCATTCGTGGAAGTCGAACATCAGAAGATAGTATTTAAGAAAATTAGAAATGAGAATGTCAAAACTTGCTTTGAAAAACATAGATTTGGTATTTATTTAATCGATTAATTACCGACGTCTTTGCAATCCTTTGGTGACAAAGCGCCATCTTTCTCTGTGATAAAGCCAGAATCACACCTATTGCAATGCGATCTCCCAGCATGCCTTTGGTATGAGTTTCTAGGGCAACGTTTACATTCGTTACTGGCGCCTTCAAGAAAACTACCAGGTAAGCAAATTGCTGAAAAGAAAATAAAGTAATTCTGAGAATTTAAAATTGATTATTTTTTTGTAAAAACTTATACATATCATAGTACTATGTACGTACCACATAATATGCTTTATTGAGCTGCTGATTCCATCATATAAATGAGAATTTCAACCCTGAATTCTACATGTTGCACATATAAACTGAGGTTGTATACATACCACACAAATACGGAACCTCACTTTGCTCATACCCATCAGAACATCTAGAAGCTAATCGTCTTGATGAAAAGGTTCGTGCGTTCAAAATCACCGCCACTGTATTATTTATCATAAATAGAATAGTTGCCTTTGAAGACACGTTGGACATATCCAGCAATGCATCAGTGATGGCCTGTTTTAGATCGTTATGTTTCTCTACGGGAGGTTTAGCATCGTTGTCAGTAGCATCTTGCCCTATGATAACTCCACTCAACAGGCCCACTTCAGATGAGAGTTGTGTTACAACAAGATCATCAATGATCAAGGATGTTGAGCTAAACAACTCTTTAAAAGAATTTAGTATATTTTCTTTGAATGTTTTGGTGGAGTTGTAATTGGCTAAAGATGCAGACAAGTTATTTGAATTAGTGATCGTCATATTCGAATATTCAACTGAGAAGGATGCAGCCGGGGCAGAAACTTCAGTATTCCTGACCACGATGCTAAAGTGCTCGGATTCTATCGTACCGACCGAGTTATTGATACGACAAAAATAAATTCCTGAATCGGTTATTTCTGGATATGAAATTTCGAAGACAGTCCCGCGATGCAGAATCGTTACGTTTCCTTGTGTTTCGAAAACTTTGTACCACATGACGTCCGGTGGGGGGTTTCCGGTGGCATTACACATTAATGTCACTCCGGACTGGAATCCCTCGAGAACGACAACCGATGCTGGTCTTCCAACGAGAATTGGTTGCTCCAGGACCATAACATATGCTTCGTGAGAGGTGATGTTAGCAATGTGATTCCCTGCAATACAGGAATACGACCCCTCATCGTCACTGTTTATTGCCTCAATGACAAGACTAGATCCAGTTTCACCCAGGAGTAAAACATCGTTAAGCAGCCATTGATACGAAAGGGGTACATCAGAAATCGCCTCACACTCCAAGGAAAGCCTTTCTGAATGAAGAAGATTTGTATTTTTCGGATGTTTTACTATTTCCGGTGGCTTTGCACAGAATATTTTGGCGTCGTTTGCTTGTTTTAATAAAGTTAGTATGTCTCCACTGAGTTCCAATGCCTCGTCGATGGTCGCATTCACCTCCTCGTCTAATAGCTCGAGAAACTTTAATTCAATATCAGGTAGGAGGTCTCTGATCACAGAAGCACCAAAAACATTTACACCTTCATGCATTTCATACAGTTGCCCAAGTGTAACAAGCATACAGTCTTTCAATCCAGTACAATAATCCTCTGGCCAGTACTCGTTCGTCTCATTCTCTACAACTGCTCGCCATTGTGTTATGAACGGAATGTTGAAAGTTTCTGTAAACTCCTTCATGGTTGAATCAATGTGCATATTTGGTGTGTCGCGTATATCGTTGAAAATAGGATCTTCATTCGCTGTTTCATTCGCTACAATTTCGTTCATTTGGTCAACTGTAAGGTTGTATTCGTTATAAGCTTCTGTGACATTGACGCCAAGTTCATCAAGTGATTTTCCTTGTAGATCACCTGTATCTCCAATCGGAATGTTTCGTATCGTGTCAAATATCGTACTTGAGTTCTCTCTGTTCTCTTTTGCAGCAGATGTAGCCTCATTCAATGTCAACGCAACATTTCTAAGGAATTCATCAATCGGCTTGAACTCATTGCATTTAGCACGAAAGTAGGTAGTGCGCGCTTCGGATTCTGTCGAATTGGAATCAATGTTATCAAATCCAGGAATGTCGGTCGTTAAATCGATGGTATGGTTGTTAAATATTGGTTCAAGTTCCTCAAATGTACCATTCTTGGAAAAGTCACCAAACTCTGGATCTCCAGGGAAAATTGTTTCCTTGGCATCAACCGAACGAAGATGCCTGTAAAGTCTGTGGACGTTGGCCATTTGCTGAAACGTCACTTCTCTCTTCCTGCGCATGCCCAATGATCCTCCGACAACACTGAATATACGCTTAACTAGCTCTATAGCTGCGTCAATTAAACTTTGCAGAATATTCTTGAAATTTATTTTGATTCCAACGCGACTCCAACCCAGTTTGAACAAGTTAACATCGCAGTGGATGTCAAATATGAAGATATCAACATCGTTTATTTCAACCGTAAATCCACATCGTTTAAAGTCTATCAGACTCTTGAGCCCGTACTCTATTACAAGATTAGCTATGTATACCGCTGCACGTAAAGCATATCTAAGAACTTCCAAAGCGCCCTCTGCAATTCTGAACGGAATTTTGGCTGCTTCTAACACAACATTAGCCATATCTATAGCGAGCTTCGCAACATCCAATACGTACTTGGCCTTGTCTACCAACCATTGTGCCGCCCTTAGAGCAAGTTTCGCAACGTCAAATGCAACAATCACGACTCTAACGAAGATTTTGGCAACTTCTAACGCTAGATAGGCAACAGCTCTAATAGCATAGCAGATACCATTCAGGATATAGCATGGAATGTTTGGTAGCTGGAATAAAGATAGTATATTACCAGAGTAAAGGTAATGAACACATTTATTCCAAAAACTATTTAACATCGATATTTGGCTATGCATTATATATTCAAGCGAATCTGAACACAGCATTCAATATAATATGCATTTCCTTTTTAGAAAATGATCGATTATTTCAAGGATCAGTAAAATTGATAACCCTTATCACTTCAGCATTTTAAGTTTGCAGTTAAGTGAAATAGTTTTAAAATGATGAGTCCAGTGAATGTTTATAAGGGGAAAATGTTGATATTGCAAAAACATTCCTGGCTTCCTGGTAATGTGATATTGTATAAAATATTTTGCAATGTGTCTGAAACTTTAATTATATTGTATGTTATATATATCCTTTTTTATTTTGGGTTTCCACACTCACTCAGAATCTCAGGCAAGACCTTCATTTATTCCTGGGCTTAAATTCTTAACTATTTATCCTAATTATTGTCTGAACAGCTAATCCAATTATCATTATGTGATGAAAATAAATCACTATAGTACCTTAATCATGCAACTAGTCCATTCGCAACAAGGGTATGGGATCTTTAACCAACCATTTGTCCAACAGATTCGGCATTTTAAACCTGGTATGCATATTGGCTTGCAATCTCTTATGCGGCACAGTCGATCCACATTCTAGAAAATACAGTGACACATAATAGTCAAATAATACGAACTGCGGTTTACTAAGGCAGCGTTTTAAATGTTAACTGAACCTCTCCCTATTACATCACTTTTTACACATGAATAAAGTATACACTTCAGCAAGGAATCGTTTCTGAAAATAGTTAAATACTTATTTTGTGAATAAATATGTTTACACAAGTGCCAAACAGAAAAAGGACTAATAAAAGCTGTTACAGAATGCAAGAAAAAACATCTAAGGGTACACTTGGCATAAGGAAAACAGACCCCAACTATCCTAAACCATGAAAAAACATGTCTAATAACCCCTCTTCCTGCCATTCAAAGAGAATCCCTGAAAATTCTAAAAGATTAACGTTGAGTAAAACGTCAATGATGCAGGTTTATGCTCTGATGTTGAAAATGTGGTTCTTTGACAAATAAAAAACACCTTTAACATATGATCATGTTTTACAATATCAAAGAAATCAAAATTTCACATAATAGTTAGTGATGCAACTTCTAAATCTAAATTATTCATCATTAAAAACCTTTAACTTTGAAATTATGTGTTTGTCTAGCAAGGCGTGTATGAAATACTTTACTTAATATTAATAACTACTGGTCGAAATGGTACAAAGCTTGAGAAACACAAGTGGGACATGATCTTTGAGTCATTGAAAATTACATGCCAACGTGAATTTGTTCGTACCTTTTGAGCATTATTGAGTTTTTCCATGGCATCATAAAATCCCCGCTTCTTGCTCTCAACGGCATTTTCAGCATCTCTTAATTTCCCAACTACCCAGTCAAAGTGAGACTTGGCGTCATCAAGAACAGCCTTCTTGGAACTTAGCCAATTTTGAGCTTTTGTGATACCTTGTCGAGCCTTTTGTAGAGCCCCCTTGGCTTCGTCAATTCTCTTCTCAGCAGAGCCAAGTGCTCGTTTTGTTGCTTGTTGGATCGCGTCAGCAAAACTACCTGAAACCTATACGCTTTACACTCTGGGTTGTACACACGGTGTTGCACGTGATTTCATTTAGTAAAATATGGTAGCTGAGTTCCATGTCACATATATCTTCCAGTTGCGCAGGTCCCCACCTGGTTATATAGACGTTACGTCTAATTTTGCACTCAGTGAAATTCGAATGAAGGTTAGATTCTTAAAGCTGATGCTCTCTCAGCTTTCAAACAATGTATTGGAACCTTAGTGTAGAAGAGGTAATTTAAAAATCACTAAGGAGCGCACTTAGAGGCTCTGTTTTGCCAAAGTATATGAGAAGAGCAATGGGATACAAATCTACCTCTTTGTTGGTGAAAATGATGAAAATCTTAAAATTTTCTGCAGGCGGAAGTACATTCATTTTGTTATAAAGGCGTAACGTGTGTATAACCAAATGGGAACCGGCGTGTTGGTAATTAAACTATGATCCGTATTTTACAGTAAGCTATTAAATAATGTTTGCTATTTATTTATAAATATTAGCCAATGAGTTACGTAAAATGGCATACGTTACCTTCATAAGTGTCATCTCCGCCTGCTAAGAGATACCCGGAGACTCTTAACTTAAGCTTGTGCCACTCGGTGAGAACCTTTGCCTCTATCTCTAGCCTCGCTCTGAATAAACTCCAAACTCGAGCTTCTGTTACACTCGTTAAACCTTCTTTCGTAATGAAAAAGTCTGATCTGGCGTTTAATCCGAGAAAACTGATTTGGCCCACAAAATGTACGACACTTTTCCAGATATCTGAGGAACTGTATGCCACTTCAACTCCAAGGCCAAAATCCCCTACATGGATCCATTTCCCGAGCATAGTCCGGTCACTTACTGTCACGAGTGCTCTGAACGCCTTTTCCCCCTCCAGTAGTTTATACATTTGGGCAAATTTACTGCACTGCGCCAATTTTCCGTCGGAGTAAACAATTTCAATCTCTACGCTAGGGAATCTTAATAAAAATATAACGAAATCCACTTTCAACCTTAGTCCAAAGCCGTTGCTGTCACCAATTACGTTTGTGAGCTCTGACACCATCCGATTGGCGAGGCTGTCTATGTTCTTTTCTATTCGGTAGACATTGCTGTTCACAAAGTCCGTGAAATTAGACTGTAAGGCCTCGATATTAAATGAGATTTCTTCTTTAAAGTTACCCCAAACTGCTTTTAATCTTGAGATCATTTCAATAAGAGGTCTGATCAAATCTGGAATCTTATCAAAACTTAAATCACGTATGCCTTCTAGTATTTCATCGATCTTATCCTTGAGCTGGCGAATAGCTGTCTCGACAGCAGCCAGTGCATCGTGAACTGATTCCTCTAAAGTGTTTCTAAATCGTTCAATGTTTTCAAGTAAGAACTGCTCAGCTTCCTGGACTACTTTATCAAGTTCAATCAAGTCATTAACAATACTATATGTTGGGATTTTACTGATTTCTGCCGACTTGTCGTAAGTTAGGTAGGCATAGGCCATAGCATCAAGATGAACTATGATGTCCTCGAGGAGAGGAATGCCAAGGAATGGAGATATTTCAAGGTAGAACGAGGCAAATACACCAGGGGGATTTGCACCTGCACCACAGTAGCGCCTTTCATCCAAACCTGGAATTTATGGAAAGCCACACATAATATAAAATCAGCGTCATACAAAATTGGATAGTTTTAATTTGTCTAATGATGGCGGTCCATTAGTTCCTATTTTCAAAATGTTTTTGACACTGTAAGGGAACATGGGGCAAAACGGCCCTGTGCTGTGGGGCAAAATGGCCCATCGAAATATCTTTTGAACTATAAAAAGATGGTTCTTCAAAAGTCACATAATCGAATTTTGACATTTCTGCCACCTTCTCGACCGCCCTTTTTAACCTAGTAGCGTCTCCCCTTCTGGAAATTCTAGTTTTCACTCTCTTTTTGCAAATTACCCCTCTCACGAGAATCTCTAAAAGAATCCGGTAACAATAGAATATCGTTTTGAATTAATATTTAACATAGAGTACTAGTTTTCATATTTATTCTTTATTTGTCAAAATTTCGAGCTTGAAATATTAGGTAAATCAAAATGACGTATATTTGGAAATTCACATGTCAGTGGGGCAAAACGGCCAGCAAAGGTTATAACATACAAAAATCTTAATGTACTTGTACAAGAACAATTCATTTTCAAATATAGCGACTTTAACATTTGGTTTGTACATTATTTCCTTCCGACACATATCGAATGACTAGAATTATGGTAGGGGTTAAGAATACTTTATTTGTCGAAGGTTTGAACGTCTGAGATAAGATGTGTGTGGACGAGTCTTGTAATTGATCAATCTTGGTTTTAAAAACCATGTAACAGGGGGTGGGCCTTTTGCCCCACCCATGGGCTGTTTTGCCCCACTCTCAACATTATTTTTGACCACTGAAAAATTACAAAAGATAGTCCTAGGCAGGTATAGAACACTCGAAAAATGTAAAACACAACTCATTGATAAAGTGGAACATCAAAGTGCGCGATGATTGACAGATAAGTAAATACCCCGTACGGAACAACTTAAAATTTAATTTTGAGGGCCGTTTTGTCCCATGTTCCCTTACTTATGATACATTGGATTGTGTATGTTATATCACGTATTCACTAAAATTGATTCGTGATTTGTCATTTTACATTGATTACATTGATGTTCTTATATATAAAATGGTTGATCATATTTAAATAACTGAAATGCATTCAATTTTCCAGATAAAAGTAGCATTGACAAACTTGATATGATTTTGTTTGGTGATCAAAATCTTACCAGTGATCAAAATTCAATTATCATGAAGTTATCTGCAAATTCTATTGACAAGATCACCATCTATCTTATATTACACCATAACCGAGTAACTGATTTTTATTTTCCTGTTGATACACTACAAGCCAAAAATGTCAATAGACCTCGGCTTGCATTTCATACATGTACCCACTGTTATATTGTTTTGTAAATGTGATTTATATGAAATAAACTAACCTTAAAATTATATATATACAGGGTGTCCCAGAAGTAATGATAATTATGCTCCAACATTTTTATTTGATATGGAAACAATATGAAATTCACACAAATTAAAGATCAAGATGTTAGCTTCATTTTACTATATTACATTTATTACTTTATACAAATATATTCAACGTATAGTTGCCATAGCAACATGTACGCGCGTTTTGCGGAGCAGAGGCCTTATTCACAAAGCATCGCAATTTGAATGCGATTGCTATTGCTATGCGATTGCGACATCGCAATTTTGGCGCGGTATTCACAATGACGTGATATCGCAATCGCGTAGCAATAGCAATCGCATTAGGATAGCAATGTGTTAGATCTAATTAGCAGCTTTGTAAATGTTGTAACTCAAAATTCAAACATTGTACAATTTCTTTGATTCAAAAATTACCGCCGATCTCACATATAGAAGAACTATTACTCACCTTCCTTAGAAGGCATAATTTCCCGTCAATACCATAACTGGAATCATTTCCGATTATGATTCATTCTTGTATCAATTCTACTTTCATACGTAAATTACGTCACGCTGCCCCTAGCTAAGAATAGCATCGCTTACGGGTATATAAATGGCAGTTTAGACTTGATTCGGGGAGAACTGGGATCGGATCGAAAGCGCGGAACCAACGGGGAACTCGAAACAAACTCGGAACTGGGAACGGAGTTGAAATGGGGAATCTTGAAGGGATCTGTGAATGGATTGGAAACATGGAAAGAGGGAGAAACGGGAAACAAATTTGATACGGGTAATTTGCGCGGCTTTGGAATAAGGCAAATGAGGGACGAAGTATTTTCAATTAATATTTATTATTCATTATTTGTATGAGAAGTTCTTTTATTTAACAAGCGCGGATATATTATAGGAATTAAATCATTCAACAAGGATCTGCATTTGACATGAAACATATATGTTTGTAAAATGTAAAAACACACTTTACAAACCTCACATCGAGATTATTTTATATAATTATCACAGGCCAAGCGAGTTTGAGGAGTTTGAGAAGTTTGAGAAGTTTATGAAGTTGAGAATCTATAATTGAAAGTTAAGAATTTAAAATTTGATATGATTGATGTTCAATTAGGAAATATTTATGAAGAGACATACAATTGGTAAAGCATTTGATCCATTAAGATAAATGTACTTATTGCATTAATTAGAGAACTGTAAAGCTTGGAATAAAAATATTTGTTTTAATTATAATTAACACGTCCGTTACAATTCGTCGCATGAGAATAACTTTGTACTATCTCACATTTTTACGGAACTGAGAAATCAAGGTTTGAAAGTTTAGAGGTCTGTATCTTACTTAGTATTGCTATGTGAAACTTGATTTTTTGTATGTCACCTGGTCTCACCCTAGAGATATCTTATATGAAATATCATACCTTGAAACAATTTACAAGATCCTTTTTTAAAACTATGGAAATGGAGTTGATACAATTTCCCACCGGAATAACAGCTTATTTCTAATTTCAAATTGTCATATCTGATATCAACTGTTTCAACCAATCAACTCTCTAAGAATTGGTCATGTGACTTGCAAAACTTGGAGTTATAACAATCTTATATTAAAACAAAGTATGCCAATATGCATGTTATTGTATCTAGAATGAAAAATAATGTTTTGCTTTGTAAAAAATCTTCAAAAACCAAAGAATATTATTTAATAAAATAAAGAAAATTCAATTTATTAAACTTTAAAATCAATTTCTCAAATAAGTACAATTATTTCTTAATTTTGGAATCTCAGGACACCCTTCAAAAAGAATTTATTGCCTTTGAAACTAAGGCAGAAGTACAATGCATTGAAACCAATGATGCCAATACGGTCCCCCACATATTTCCCTCGGTATAAACCCTGTAGCCTACACCTCCCAGCACATTACAATGTAGCCCCTAAGGGCCGGTCCGCTGGTCATTATCAGGTTATTTTTGATACAGACCAGTTGATTTTTTCACTGGGTATAGGAGAATAACATTGCAACTGGTCCGTAATTCCATTTTGACCAGCAGGTTTCAGATCCTTAGGGCCTAAGACATAACCAATTTTTATTACATGCAAATGGAAGAAATTTGAAAATAGAAAAATAATTTCTAATTCATTTTAGATTAATGAAAGTGATGAAACCTCGATTTAGGTAATCACATTTTGTTCATTGGGATGCAGCTATCATTATCCATTCATTTTCTGTTGTTTGCTACTCTGTGGAGTACAATTGGGAATTGAAGCAATTGTAGAAGTGGAGACTAAGAGTGGCTCTTTGTAAAGAAATTGAACCAATTTGTTACTTTTCCAAAATAAAATGTAGATGATCTAAAAACAATGATCCCAAAAATGCAAAAGAAAGGACAAATCTGAAAAACATACTAGTAATAAAATAACTAAAAAGATCCCAGATGTTCAGTGGAAAGCGCAAAGTAAATCATAGATGAAGAGAAAATAAAATAAGTGTTTTAAGGGACTATACTAACATAAAGATAACTCCTTATTGATATAGTGTATGGTCAGTAAAAGTTAAAGCTAGTTTAAACAGATTTAGCTTTTTTCCACAAACTATAAAACATCATTTTGAAAGAGATTTCAATAGTATACAGACAGTGATTGCCTTTGAGCAATGTAGTGCAAAATATGACAGTTACTATTTGTTTTGATTACTATTATCTAGTATATAACCTATTATTATGTACTCTATTTGAAGAAACAAATAAGTAGTCTTTCATTTTCAACATTTAATGATGACAGCTTCGTATATGCATTTCTATTGCATTTGGCCATTCAAACCCCCATAAGACCTGGTAGCAGGGAAGATAAAGGGTACTTTTGACTGCTCACATGATAACTGGTCATTTGTACTTTTCATCTTCCCTGGTAGCAAGGATTTAGGTTTTCGAGGAAATTAGTAATTCTATTTCATATCATGTGGCCATGAATAATCCTATGAGCATCCATAATACAAAGAGTAATTGAGGGCATATAATTTGAATATGCATGGGATTACACATACTGTATCATTTTATTTTTTTGATCTACTTGTAATAGTTCTAAAACTAAAACATGAAAGGCCAGGCATGCAAACTGGCATGGTATTGTGTTACAAAACATTATTTCATTCTAGATACAATAACATGCATATTGGCATACTTCGTTTTAATATAAGATTGTTATAACTCCAAGTTTTGCAAGTCACATGACCAATTCTTAGAGATTGATTGGTTAAAACAGTTGATATCAGATATGACAATTTGAAATTAGAAATAAGCTGTTTGTCTGGAGATGGTACAATTTTACACTGAATTCTAGCTTAATGAGAGGGAATTGAGATGGGGCATGTATCTGAGATGAAAGCCTGTGTTTCAAATAGTAAAATTCCATGTCTATCTCAATTTTTTTGAAAATGGCAGTTAGTACAAAGTTATTCTCATGCGACGAATTATTTGGGAATCATGGAATACAAGTTAAAATATTGGGGAACATAATGGTCTGTTGTGAGTAACCGATTGGACCACGATCCCCGGGGCAAATATAAATTTCATTCAGGGTGGGGCTGAATCTAAGAAAAAAAAACCATACAACAATCTCTTTATCTATTAATGGAATTAAAGTTCATGTCCATTCCCTCATGAAACGACGATACCTCTCGATCATCTCATGATCATCGTAAATATCCAATGGATGTGTTCTGTCGCGAAATAATCTTGGTCTTACGAGGGAGATGCTGTCTGCGTTTCACCGCTATCATCGCCATTTTGTTTTACGGTGTCTCAGACGACTGATAATGGCGGGAATTATAACATTGCGATTCATTGATAGCAATTTTAGATGAAATATAAAAAATATTCTTCCATTATTTAAGACGACTTTAGACCCTTATTATCTCGTCAGAACACATGAAATGACGATTTTTTTAAAATCGTATGTTGGTTAGTATACCGAAAAACGTTGTATTAAAATAGCAGATAATTCGGAGAACGCTAAACGCGTTTAATTAAAACATAAAGCAACCCTTAATATTGCGACTGTATTGCGGCTGGTTGAGGGTAGTCGCAATTATATGACGCTAGTAATGCGATTGAATTGCTAAGTCGCAATCGCACTTTGATTGTGAATAAGAATTTTAGCGATTTTTGCGATGGCGATTGCGATGTCGCAATCGCATAGGATGCGACACATTGTGAATAAGGCCAGCTGTGTGTTTTTCATACATTTTTGAAAAACATTTCATGTTCATATGTTTTCCTGCTGTTCACATCACTACTGTAATGCTGCTACTTCATTCCTGATATTCCTTAAGAGCATTGTACATTTTTGATTCACTTATCCACATACTGTCTTTTGCTGGAGACAATTTGTCTGTGCCTTTCCAGCCAGGATTGGAAGACACGATCAAAACAACTGTTGGACATATCCTGCAGAGCCAACTGAACCGAGCGGCGCAATTGTGCCTCGCTCTCGTGTTTATGCCACCTATACACCATATGCTTGTTTAAACTCCTTTATAGTGTCACTGGGTTTACCCCCTGTCTTCTGAAGGAATTTTATGACTGCTCTCTGCTCTAATTTTTATCTTTGCTCAACGTTGGTGGCATAATGTACACCTCCCTGGAAATTCCTAGGTTGTGTTCCTAAGAGTTTTCCTTTTGTGAAACCCTATATGACATCATCATGTGATGTCATAATATCAGATTAAAGTGATAATCCTGTCACAATGAGATAAATCACATAATATTAAACCACTATGACATCATGCAACTGTATACAATTACCATAACAATGATTTAAAAGCTTGAAACATTATCACAGAATAACTGCTTTTCTAAACTAAATTTGAACATTTATAATATACGGAAACTGCTCCGCAAAACGCGCATACATGTTGCTATGGCAACTATACATGGAATATTTCTGTATGAATTCATAAATGTAATATAGCAAAATGAAGCTTATATCTTAAACTTTAATTTGTATGAATTTCATATTGTTTCCTTGTCAAATAAAAATTTAAGAGCATAATTATCATTACTTCTGGGACACCCTGTATTTAAGGAATAAAGACCTCGATTTTATGATTTAAGGCGTAATATATGACCAAAAATGATATTCTGTTCATTGTTAAAAGACCGAAATCGCGTAGCGATTAAGGTCTTTGGCAATGGCCAGAATAAAATTTGAGGTCATATGATAAACAGACAAGAAACAAGACTATTTGCATTTATGAATTTTAGCGGTCATACATACTCCAATATAGACAAGTAGTAAATCAATTGTTCTGGCTATTGTATCATATTAGAATTATATTTAAATAACGATTGATGAATCATTTTTTGCTCGACACAAACCTCCAACGTCTGCTAAGAGATGACTGGACGCCAAAGCAGTGTTAGGGAAATTTAGCTGTTGACTCATTCCAAACAGGTCGAACCGTATGACCATATCAATACGGCCCCGTATATTCACCAAAAGTTTCCATCTGTCTAAGAATACGTGTGTCAACATCTGTATGGAAATGATAAACACGTCAATTAACACAAAGCATTTGCTCTATTGTCAAAGGAATAGATTTTAAAAAAATAACTTAATTTAAGGAAAACTCCCTTTCAATTCAAAAGGTATGTAAGGTTCTTATCAATGTCCAGATAAAAAAAACATAATGATATTTGGTTTGCTACTTACATTTAATGGATTTGGTAGAGACATAAATGCATCAGCGTCTGCGTAAAACTCGAGTTCAAAAGCCCTGTTTTTCCCGAAACTCAGTATATAGGTCATCTCACCCATCATCCAAACATGAGCGTTTTGGAAAATACTACAATATGAAAAATATAACCGTATTTAGGCTTCCAAATTGTATTAAAATACAAATGTGCATACTAAATACGAGGGCCGATCAGAAAGTAATGGACCGTTGGCTCTAATTTTGTCAACATTCAGTTTTTTAATGATTTTTTGACATAATATATACAGCCCATACACAGGCGTTTAACGTAGTTCATTTTGACAGTATAATGGATGATCGTTTGAAAGAGCGACAGGAAGTTCCGTCTTGATCACGAAATTGAGTCCGCACACAGAGCAAATCTAACCCAAGATATGATTGATACAATTGTGGGTGTGTTAGCCATGGACCATACTCCCCAAATCTGACTGGATGTGACATTTATTTTTTTCCAACAGTTAAAAAATTAAACCACTAAGCACAGAATTCACTTTGAAAATAGTGAGGAAATTTTCCACCAGTTTACCCATGAATGGTACAAAGTCGGTGAAGAAGATCAAAATTGGATTAAACACAAAAATATCACATCCACCCCGACCCTTCCTTAGTAACCATGGTAACCAATAAAATATGTGATGTCATAGAACCATGAAAGTTAGTCAGTTTCATATTCAATGTACAAGTTATATTGTTTGCAAATATTACATAGAAAGGGTGAATATTGATGAAATTAGAGCCAACACTCCAATACTTTCTGATCGCCCTTCGTATACTTACACTGTTATTTCTTATCGAAATACAAATATGCATACTAGTATACGTGGGCCGATCAGAAAGTAAATTATAAATGAAGCATATAGGTTGATCAGTGAGTAACTTTGATTATTGTAAGAATTTCAGCATGTATTGTCTATGGGTAATTTTAAAGTAGAATTTCAGGAAAGTTAGATTCATTTACACCGTTTTGAAAATATATACGACTTTTGCTAAAATACGTTAAACATATTCAGCTGAAAGAGTTGCTATATGACATGATTGCGCTATTGCCATCGTTGTCCTGGTAACCGGTTTCGTGACAAGGTGGATACGCTTTTCGGTGTTATTTGTATTATTTGTCTTAATTTTTAAGCATTGAATGTATGAGTTGAATGGTACAAAGTCGGTAAAGATAGACTGTTCCATGTATTCAGATTGGATTAAAGGGTTCCGATTAGTATCCCGTATAAAAACAATATGGCGGCTCCAGGCGAATCAACTGCATCAGTCCATTTTTAAGAAATAAGGGGAGTTCTGTAAAATCCAGTTTATTGAAATTGTCTTCGAGATAAAGTAATCCGTTTATAATGATTTTGAAAACGTTATCCAAAGAGTGATTGCGTTCAAATAATACATGTACAACAGCCAATATAAATTCTTGTATTAGAAAACCGGTTTGTCTTGCTTTGTTTCATTTGTAGGATATTTCATATGCCAAGCTGTGTGCTATAACGTTATGGGGAAATTTAGATGCCAATTTTTCCTTATTATACACAAATAGAAGATCCTGAAACTTCACCCATAAATGTGGAATTGATTTGTCAAAATGAAAATCACCCTTTTATAAATATAACAGTTAGAGGTGTTGACTCAACGACCTCGAGCCTGTGAACCCTTGAGTATTATTCCGGGATCGGGCCTTTTATACTAAACGGTGAGCAACACCAGAAACGAGCGTTCGATTTACTAAACGATATGCGTCACCCTTTAAACACAATAAAATATTACATCCATCCTGACCCTAGCTTAGTAACCTATTTGGTAACCAATGAATAAAACGTGATGTCATAGAACCATGAAACTACATCCGTTTCATATTCAATGTACTAGTTATATTGTGTGAAATTAGTATTACATAGAAAGGGTTAACATTGATGAAATTAAAGCCAACAGTCCTTTATACTTTCTGATCGCCCCTTGTATTATACTTGAATTGTTATTTCTAAACAAGGTCATATTGAGACTCCACTTACGGATAATTGAACATATTATCACCATTCCATAACTGTAGTGAACTCTTGGAGCTGTGTACGTTCAAACCATTTGTGGCAGAAAATCCCAAACCCCTTACACATACATCTAAGTCACCCAGTATATTAGCAGTCATTGGGATCTTTTTCAATATCCGACAGGCTGAACTATCAGTGCTCCGTCGCCGCCTCCGGTTGTCTGGTAACGATTTGGCGATAGATGGCGGGAATGTTAACATGATCGTGCCACCCAAATCGTTACATATGTCAACGATGAGACAAAAATCTTCACCATCAACAACAGGAATATTGATCATTTGTCCGAATATATTAAGAGTCGTATCAGTGTTGAACTTAAACACAGAGTAGAGTCGATCAGGGAACACTGGGGCGACATCACAGACGGGGATACCCTTGACCACATCTCCTGTTGTGACCCAGGAATGCAACTTGTTAGGCGACAATATCTTAGTACCAGTAGGCAGAATGTTTACAAGACTTGGCAAGAGGCCACTGGCACTCGGGAGATATGTATTCAAGAATGCATTGTTTGCAATATAGTCAGCGATTTTAGCAACAGTCATGTCCTGGACACATGCCGGGTCACGTGTTGAGTCAATCACAGTACCATCAAATGGGTGAATACCTTGAGTCAGAATACTCATCTCGAATTTGCCAGATTCCTGCTTAACCTTCATCCCTGATAAGGATACGGGCAAAGATAACTTGTTCACTTCAACAAATACAATTCCAAGAGTGAAGGAAACAGACGGATCCATGTTTAAAGTAAGCCAATATGATGTTGAAGAGAGACGGAGATTCATATTTAAGTTAGTTCCCGATGGACAACCAGTCAGATGAATCACGAAGCATCCCGATGGCATAATCCGACCTGGTACTGACAGACTTTTAAGTGTTACATCTTCGCAGAACTGACCATCAAATCCTGTACCTATGCGTAAGAATGATAATACAACATTTCTTACATTCTTCAATAACAATTTACTTTTGAATTGTTTATGTGCAGGCATTTTTGTATATTGTCGTATTTTATAACATGAACTGGCATGATATCTATAATTGTATTTCTTGCTTCATTCAATTCATATAAATTGTAATATATTTTTATATTGTATAACTTTTGATTTTAGCACTGATATGTCCTTTTATGGGTATCAAGTGCCAACACTGTTAATGTAATACTAAATGAATATGATAATAAAATAAATAAAAAATAAATAAAAAATGAAATAAAAAACAATAACACGGTTTAACATTAACCCCCCCCCCCTTAAGTGTTAAAACATCAATGTTCAAATTTATATTTGCATAATCTGTAACGAGAAAGATACCTCCGGGGAATACTTCCTTCTTCTATGATAATGTAGCCAATTGAACACATATTGTCAGTTTAGCGTACAACACGATGATTGAGCATTTTTTAGAACTTTTAGAATTTTAGAAAACGAAGTAATTTGTCTTTTTCAACTATATCATTATTTTTAGCATATATTTTCATTTACTTAAATATCCATATATAGTCACCATCGGTTGTACATACCTTCACAATTACAATAGATGTCGCTGCCATTTTCACCAGAAGCTTCACACTTCCCATCGTGAAGACATGGAGTTGGAAAGCACACATCTTGAAGTAAAGTATATGAGTACAAGTCAAATTGTCATTCGAAAGAAGCAATTCATGTAATGTGATCTACTTGCAGTTATAATACCAGGGTTCTAAAACGCGTCATCATAAGTATGAATCTTATTTTGATCACAGAGATACTAATGGTCGTGCTGCGTCGTTTGTCTGCAAAGACTTAAATCGTAAAATTAGATCAGACCTAAGGTTAAATCACAATTATCGCAACTCTACTTCAACTGAAATAATCAAAACCAATTAAAAGAAGACCATTGTGTCATTTATTTATAATTCATAGCTAGGCATATCGTGCACAGTTTGAAACAACACCTCAGAGTAATGATTCAGTCCACAATACATCAAGTCCAGTGCTTAAATCCTTAAACTATCTGATATTGATATTAACATTTTTAATTAGTTTAATATTGGTCATATGTATGTTCAGAAGACAAACCAATCTACCAGAAAACAACTAATTTAGCGACCTATTTCCCAATATCTTTACTAATTGCCCCCAACATAAAATTATTAAGTATAGTAACCTAGTTCACCTCAGAATACGTGTAATAGAAACAAAACTGTAGTATTTTGTACTTTAAAACGTAATGTGCAAATTATTGACTGGAGTGATATTACCGAATGTCAAGATGCAAACGAAGCTTATGATTTTCAACAACAAATTGTCAACCCAATATGACAATAAAAACGACAGTCCGACTATTATTTCATGGCTGAATTAGTTCAGCTTCAGTGCACTCCATGAAAGAGTCCAGGACTTAAGATACAGAGTAGACACTGAACATGGATACAATTGTAAGTTTAGAATTTTCAGTTGTTTTTGATAGCTTGCCAATTGTCCATTCTTTAAAACAATAGAAAAAGAATATACTCCTCTTTTGTTACAGCTGTACAATCTTTAGAATAAAATACAGTTCATTTTTTTTGTTGCTACCTAGGGGGATTTTAATCTACGGTTTACCTTTGCAATTGTGTTTATTGTCTTTTAGTTCGTATCCAGCATTACAGCTACAGGTATACGAGCCGATGGTATTAGTACATACATGTTCACATCCCCCATTTTCAGATGAACATTCATCAATATCTAAAATAGAAACTGCTTTCTAAACATTTAAAATAGTGGCATGTTGTAAATGTTAGCATGTCTTCGTATCCAGCATTACAGCTCCACGTATACGACCCGATGGTATTAGTACATTCATGTTCACACCCCCCAGATCTACATTCATCAATATCTAAAACAGAAACGTGCTGCATGTACAGGGTGATCCAGAAGTAACGTCAAAGACATTGTAATTTCAAAAGTATTCATCAGATCTTCATGAAATTTGGTATACATGTACCCACAACATTTCTGAGTTACCATCTCAAAGATTGGAATTCAATCATTTCATTGGTTGAAATTATGGTTGCTATAGTAACCCGATATCGCGTAACCCGGGGCAAATTGAAGAGAAACCATAACGTTTTTGTGAATTTCTCTAATTTAAAAAGTCAGTAACATTTGAAAATGTTCATTGTTTGTTTTCTATGATTTTTATATTTGTTGCCATGGTAACAAATATGTAATAGTTGTGATGTCACAATAGGCATTCATAAAAAGCTTTCAATTTCTTTGAATTGCTTCCATCATCCATGACAAATACTAACATGACCAAGGACACTAACCCACCCAATTCAAGATGGCGCCAAGTCAGAGTAAAATAGAGCAAAGAACAAACATTAAGTTCTGTGTAAAGTTGGGGAAAGGTGTAAAAGAGACTATAAGACAGATAAAGAAGGCATATGGTAAAGCTGCCATTGCTGAGAGAAACATTTACAGGTGGTTTAACAAGTATTCCAGTGGATATGATGAAGTGGTAGACAAGCAGCGAGGAGGCAGGCCAGTGTCGTCATTCGATGATCAAACCATCAAAGCAATTGAAGCTGATGTTATGGACAATAGACAAATTTCTATCAGAGAATTGGCTGAAAAACACGATCTGAGCTATGGGACTGTGCAACGGATACTGACAAAGAACTGTCTGTTAAAGAAGGTGTCTGCTAAATGGGTGCCGCATGACTTGACACAGGAGCAGAAAGACCGGCGTGTTAAGGCTTCAAGGGACTTTCTTGCAAAATATCGGAGAGATGGAGATGACTTTCTTAACAAGATCATTACGAGTGACGAATCATTGCTATCATTCTACATCCCAGAGACCACGCAACAAAGTTCATCGTGGAAACATGACAACTCCCCAACACCAACCAAGCCTAAAATAGTACCAGGAATTCCACAAAAGAAACAAATGGTTGTGACATTCTTTGACATTAGAGGAATGGTGTTAACCCATTTTGTTCCCATTGGCCAGAGAATTAATGCCGTTTACATTGCAAAGGTAAGATATCATTTGTTCTAATAATACATCATACTGTGAATTTTATTTTTAAATTAAAGTATTTAAATGTTGTTCACTGTCAATATAATTATAACTCCATGGCCATGATTCAAATCCAAATCCAATCAATGAAACAACTGGTTTAACAACCATTAAACATTTGTTTTTCAGGTTCTGAAGCGTGATCTTCAACGTTCCCTGAGGAAAAAGCGTCCCGGACATCTGCAGCAGTTTATCTTGCATTGGGACAATGCCCCTACGCACACTGCAATCCTGACCAGCAACACAGTCCAAACACTTGGATTTCAACAACTTGAACATGCCCCTTATTCACCTGATCTTGCCCCCAGTGACTTTTATTTGTATGGGGAACTAAAAAGAAACCTTAGTGGAAATAATTTTCAATCCTGTGAGGAATTGAAAAATGCCGTAGTACTAGCCCTACAAGGAATGAGTTCTAATGGATTTAATTCTGTGTTCAAGGAATGGGTATCCAGACATGAGAAATGTGTTGCAAATGGTGGCAATTATGTAGAATGAACTATTATTAGTAACTGTGCAATAGTATGATTTATATTGTTGTGAAATAAAATGTTGAGGATATAACAATTTCAGATCTTGTTGATATTTTGAGATTACGCATTACACGTTAAGTAATTTGCCCCGGGTTACGCGATATCGGGTTACTATAGCAACCATAATTTCAACCAATGAAATGATTGAATTCCAATCTTTGAGATGGTAACTCAGAAATGTTGTGGGTACATGTATACCAAATTTCATGAAGATCTGATGAATACTTTTGAAATTACAACATCTTTGACGTTACTTCTGGATCACCCTGTACATCCGAACACTAATAGTGGTAGAATGGGAAATTCAAGCGATGAATCCTAAAACACCTGTCGAGATTATCAAATGGTCATCACCTATGTCCGTAACTAACGCTACGTTTGAATCTAGATCTATTTGTGTGAAGTCGTATGAAGGAACCAATAGTTATAAAGAGGGCAAAACAAAAACAATACATCTCTCCGGAGATATGTGTTAACAACGTGTCCAATAACACTGGCCGTTTCCTTTAGTCATTGATGCAATGTAATCTTTATTGATGAGGATTGTTATTTCCTCAACCAGATCCAAATGGCCGAACTTGCGTTCGAAAACTTCGTAGTGAAGTCAAATATTAAATGCCCCATTAGTACATGCTCGGTTTGAAATAAATTTTGTTTTTTTATTTCAAATTTGATTTATCCACCTGTTTAGCACAAGTTTTTCCCTTGACTTCAAGTTACTATACATGTATCAATGATTTAATATAAATACACGTTATGGTCTATTAAGTCAACTAACTTTTGGCATTTTCACTTGATGGATTTTCTTCTAAATTCTTTGAGATTTCTGGATCTATAAGAGCCCTCAGACAAAGAGATTTAGCCACAATTCAAAACAACGAAGTAAGACTTTAGTAAGTGGATAACTATGACACAATATGTGCCAAAATGACGTTAATATCGATAAGAGGACCTAGGGGGGTAGTGTAACCTCATGGGAAAACCCCAACTTACACGTAAATATTCAAATTTACATTGCCTCTAAGTGTTAGAGTTGTTGTTCCAGGGTTCATATCAAGTAAATTTACATAACATGCATGTAACTGTCAATTGTGATATCAATTGCAACTTTCTTAACTCCTCGCTGACATATTCTCTCTGATACTTAAAAGATAATATTGTAT